AGTAATCAATTGCTTTTATAAACAAAAAAAAAGACACGTACACGTTGATGATGATGGAAGACATAAATTCGAAAGACGAAATAATACAGCGTATGTGTGTATCTATATAAAAGCAGAGAGAGATAAAAAATATTGATTACAGTGCTGATTGTCCCATCCCATTAAGCGGTCTTAAAACAAATGACTGCGCAATTGTAAAATTCCACAGCGCAACGTAACGAGATTAGCCCACGCCATCCATTGCCGATCCTAATGACGGACACTTTTTTCCTAATCATTCGTCCGAAGAGTGCTCATTATTTCGCAATTCCTCGCGGTCCTCAGGTACCAAGGCGTACACTTAAGTTGCGCGCAATTATTGGCACGATACCGTTCGCGTTGGATTTGCACGCGTGTCGGGTGCATTTTCTCGCGAGGCAAAAAGCACACGGCGCATACTCGGAAACGCACGGCCGGTCGTCAGCTATTCAAACTGCTGAAGAAGACGCTATTCAGACTTCGTGTTCCGACGTGGTCATAATCACAGAGATCGTAACGACTAATCCCGACTTTGCCGGATGAATCAGACTTGCGTGGCAAAACTCAAAATGGCAAGTACAAGTCTGTTCCCGGAGATTCTCGAAATTTTTGTAAATTACGCTTGCATTCCTCTCGAATGATTCGCACAATCATAATAATAACTCGGAAAAATTGCACACAGCAATGAAATCCACGACTCGCTACTAATTCTGATATGTCGTAAAGATAAATGCATAATGTCATACACGTACATCGAATCCATGTGCAGTTTAGAAAGAAAATTATCAAGATTAAATTTTTCAAATTTTTGTAATAAAAAAATATGCTATAATTATTCAAAATATCCCAAACATATTTCAATTTTTTTAAAACATTACATATATGTGTATGTATATACATTATTATTAAGATTTTTTTAATACATTTATTTTGTATAAAAGTGTCTTTGTTTAATTTATTATTATTATTATTATATTTAATTATAATAATATAATAAATTATTATATATAATAAAGTATAATAATAATAATAAATTAAACAAAAAGGCACTTTTATACAAAACAAATGTATTAAAAAAATCTTAATAAAAAAGAGATTTATGAAAATTACAAAGGGGAAATCCGTGCGATCTGCATATCAATTTTGTGGGGTAAATAATGCAGAGTTTACCTCAACTACTCCGAGTTGAGACGTGAGGTAAGATGCAACAGGTTCGCGGCAAAGAGTGCCGATTGATCGCGATTCCCACGAATGCACTCGCTCATCACATTGTCGGGAATCGCGGCGAATCTCGGCGCGAATATAATCGACCGGCGCGGAAATTGTCGGTTCCACAATATTGCGCGGGCAAATCGAGCCGCTAAAAATGCTTAATAAATACGACTCCGCGGGACCGACTGTCGATCGGTCGGGGCCGAGTCGCGCGTGCGTGTGTTACGTGCGTGCGTGTGCGTAAACGGACCCCGGCGTTTTGTCAGAGACGTGCACTTATCCCATCATGCACACGCCGCCCTTTCGTTTCTGTCTTTTTCCCTTCGGTTTTCTCGCGCTCTAGCGTTCTACCTCAATCGTCTCCCTTCTTCACCAACACACACGCAGGCAGACATGCACGCACATGCGTTTTAAGTACACGCAAAAGCTATGTTTATCATTCCACCGGCAGCCTTTCCAACCTACCCCTCTCTTTACCCATCATTCATTCGATGATTCTACTTTAATACTAGCGACGTAATGTGCATCTATGTAAGGGTAGTTTTTGATAAAAAATAAAGCGATAAGAAACTAAGGCAACGCGTGCAAATAATCATTTTTCAATTTTAAGAATTATTTAAGCAAAACTATCTCTAATTAAAATAAATCTAATTTAATATTTTTATTTAATATTTTTTAAAATATTTTATAAATAATTATCATCTAATTCATTTTTGTAAAAATCTTCATAAAAAGAGCACATAGTGAAAGAACGTAAAAGATTAATATAATTTTGCTCTCCTTTCCACGATATGATCTGTAACTGTCATGTAATTGCTATATCAAACAGCTAATTTTAATTATAAATTAAATTATAAATTATAAATATATAATATATAATTAAAAACTATATAATATATAATTATAAATTAATAAATTAAATTATAAATTAATAAATTAAAATATAATTTTACAGCGTTATGCGAATTTACTATAATCAATGCGTTTTCTTATAAGAGAAGCGTGATTGAGCGAGCATATGTGCCTCTTTATAAATTTCGCATTGCGATAAAGAATCACCTCGATAGGAAATCATCACGTTCGCGATATTCCAGTCGAATGATTATAATAAATTCGATCGCAGCGTGCGATACTGCCATGAACGTGGGTATATACACGTACACTATGAACCGCGAGCGACATGCAGTGGATCAATTCAATTCCGCCTTTAATGACTACTCGAGAGACGGCGAAGGAGAGAGAGCCTTTTAATAACCCTTCCCCTTGAACCCCGTTCGATCGGAGGTTCGAAAGTCGCGGCAAGGTTAAGTACTTGCACTTCGTCCGATGCTCTTCCTTCCGGTTTTCAACGGGGCAACAAATCGTCGACGGTTATTGCGATTAAGATATTTATCTTTTTTCTCGATGACAAAGTTACGAGACGCGTTTATCATATTTTGAAGAGACGATTTCGTGAGTAAGAACAAGTTTGTTTAATAATATTTAAATCGCGTTTCGAACTGAAATTAAAAATTTATTTATTATACATGATATTAAAATCTGTAGAGAGAAAGAAAGAAATCTTTATTTTACATTTTTTATAAATTTATACAGCGAGCGACCTTTTCAAGGATTCTCTTTGTTTGATTTTATCGTACAAATTTGATAAAAATATAAAATAAAATTCTCTCTTTTTCTCTTTAGATTTAACATATATAATAAATATATACATACAATTTCGAAATATCTATTTTCCCCCAAATAATAAAATTTGAAATAATAAAATAATAAAACATGAAAAGGGTCAGTCATATAAAGTTCGATTCAATTTTCGTGCCTCAATAATAAAAAATATCTAAAATTCTATAACACGAAGAAGATTTGTAAGAAGACCGGACGAGAATAATGAAGAGTTTTCCTTCTTAAAAGTTTCGGAGAAAAGGGGAAAAAAAGGGACACCGGAGACAGAACGAAAGGATGGCCACTGGATAATTTCATGCCGACGAACATACTGCATATGCAAGTGCCACTGTAGTCACGACATGGCGAGTGGCTATGTGCACTATTGTGTATGTCGACACGTACATTATCTTCGAAAAGTTCCCCACGCAATGTATAATAAAAGAGATGGCGGAAATTATATTTTTGTAAAATTGCCGCAAATATAAAAATCGCACATACTAGACAAGAGAAATAAAAAATTTAGCGATTTTATTCCTAAAATTTCCATTTGCTATTACTATAAAAAATACACACATACATTGTTAATATTTAATAATAAAATTTAATATGTGAATCGGCAATTATTATGCTTGTCGCTTCTGATTTTTTATTTCTTTGTTTGTACACGTCGCTTTTTTGTTCCACCTTGAGTCACGAGTATACGAGTATGCTCCTTTGATGTTTACGATTAGAGGAAAGTATTTTGCAAGTAAAGTATCGGATTTTTCCGCAATAAAATGTGATTAAAATGTAGCGACATAATTTTCTCAATTCAATTATCTTTGTACGATTGCATGTTTTATAACAAATAATTTTGAGTTTTTAATCACATCGATGAATTAATTTCATAGTGAGTTTCAAGCAATTGATTAGCACAAACTCAACATGGAATTCTTGAATTAAGACTAGATTCTGACGTATACTTTACTTTAAATTTGCTACGCTTTTTTTTTTAAATCTTTAAATACATATAATCATACATTTCAATTTAAAAAAATAGAAAATCAACAAGTTCTTGAATATTTTTCCTTGTCACCTTAAATGTAACGATCTTATATATAACGATCATATGAAATACAAATTTTATAATTTAATGAATTTAACTTTTATAAATTTGAAAACATTTAAAACAATACTTCTTCTAACTTTGATTGATAAAGAGTTTGTTTTTCTTTCAAAATGTAAATCTATTCTAATTATGTAATAAAGTATCAAATAAATCTATTCTAATTTTGTACATTTTTATTCTTTAAATTAAAAAAAATATATTTGCATTTTTAAAATAATAATTGATAAATATTATTGTGTTTAAAACTAACAACACATTTAATATTTAATTTTTTAATATAGATCGTTACAATTTATTAATTTTTTTATCACTACGGAATACATACATACATACTTTTATTTTTTTTTACAGGAAATTTTTACGTAAAATGAATATTCTAATACCTCAAATTATTTCAGAGATATTCGCTCATTGTTACTTTTCACGAAATCAAATCCATAAGTGACTCCTCTTTAATAAAACCGCGGTTTGTAATAATAGCATTCTTTCTTCTCATAAATCCGTCATTACGTTCCCAACATTAACTCAACTTTGATATTATTATTGTAATTTCGCTGCACATTTTTAAATGTGCCAACGAACAAGCTTGTATATTATTTACTCATATTTAATACTGTATTATTCATACACACATACTCTCTTAAATGCCTAAAAAAAATTCGTTATCACATTATTAAGAAAAGCAATCTCTGCAAAATTACAATAATTAATACGTCTGTATGTACTTAAAAATCCTTCTCAATAATTCGAATAACAAAATAAGAATATTCGTATTTCGTTTATTTTTTATGTAAGCTTTATAATACTGTATTATTCATACACACATACTTTCTTAAATGCCTAAAAAGACTCGTTATCACATTATCAAGAAAAGCAATCTCTGCAAAATTAATAATTAATACGTCTGTATGTACTTAAAAATCATTCTCAATAATTCGAATAACAAAATAAGAATATTCGTATTTCGTTAATTTTTTTATGTAAGCTTTAAGAGACTCACCAGTGAAGTCGCACTTCAAACGTCAGATTCCAAGGATCGTGGCACCAAACTCTTCGGCGGACGGCGATCGAGGGGAGGGGAGCAGGGCCGATGCACCCACGAGACGGGCTGTTGTAAAATGATTACGCAACACGCAACTGGTGGCGCACACGCGACGCGGGCGATTGAAAGCAAAAACGTCAGTGTCGCGACGAACGTCACCGTCGTTGTCTGCGAGAGTAGACGATTATCGAGCGTACCACGCTTCGGGAGAAAGAGACGTACCGAACGCGGTAGAGATAGACCGAGAATGTATGCGAGAGCGGAAGAGAGAGAAGGCCGAACGCGCGAAAGGGAGAGAGAGAGAAAGAGAGAGAGAGACAGACTCGCGTCTTGGGAGCAGAGCGAAACAAAGAGGTTATATCGTACTTTAGGGGCGTCCACTCACGAAACACCGCTTTCACAGTCGTGAGAGTAGGGCGCTTGACAGCTGAGCAAAAAATGGACGAGATCCGCAAACCCGGCGCGCGACAACGTTCACTCACTACACTGTCCGCGTACTGTCGAGCGCGTCTATGGTTCAAATGTTCACTTCGCTCAAGAGCTCGCGTTCGTGTGAGCTCGGCCGCGCTCGGCTCCGTCCGCCGTCTCGCCGGCTCGTCGTCGCGCTCTCGCGCCCCCTTGAGTCATCGCGGTGGTACTAGTCTATTTGTATGTGTATGTACTTGTACTTGTATGAGCGTCTTCAGTAAATGATATAAAGGATACGATGTGTTACTTCGTCCTTGCGTAGCTCGAAGAAATTTCTAATCTAAATGAAAAAATTCGACATCACATATTATTTGATATTAATAAAGATATTGGTCGTGTGATATATGTATATAAAGATATTGATAAAGATATTAATAAAGATATTGATTATGTATAATATTGATATATGTATAAAAGGATTATTTTCACAAGAATGTAATTTCACTTCGTAATGAAATAAATATTTAAAGGACAATAACATTGAAATATTCTTTGTCATAAAACATTTGTTTTCGATTTCAAGCACATTAGATGTATCAAATATACATGGATACTGTGTGGATTTTACTTTATCTTGAACGTTTTTTTTTTGTCATCGCTTATATTCTTATACACGTACTCACATTATTATAAACTTATAATTCATATCAAATTTATTCTCACGAATTGAGCTGTAATACTTTATTCGAAAACTTTTCTACGACGTGTTTTTGCGTGATAAATAATTCCGTATCGAAGAGTTTTTTCCATGAAAAAAACAGATGAACGTATTGTAAATATAAACATACGCGTCTCTTTTTCTCTCTTTCTCGTGTATATATTATTGTAAACATACGCGTGTCTCTCTCTCTCTCTCTCTCTTTCTCTCTCTATTTCTCTCTGATATATATTATCATTGGCGAGAAACGTAACAAGATACGAAAATTTAAAAAAACAGCGCTATACCATTGCCATCTTGAGAGATTCGAATTTGCGTCATCATTCATGATTGATACTGACAGCGAGAAATTTTTATCTTCACTCGATACCGCGATGGATTATCATGAATGTGAGAATCACATTGCTTGGGTCGACAAATGTTTATTAATCTGAAAGATTAAACGAATTATTTTCAATCACCGCTCCAATCGCATCATAATAAAAAAAAGATACAAGTATATTTGGAATGAGAAATATATTTCGTTAAATTGAACGTTTCTCTTTTCTCCTCTTCTACATCGTGAATTATATATTATCCAATTATTCTAGGAAAACATTTACAATGTAATTATGCGACAGAATTTTCGTGTCCATCACTGAATAAAAAATGTTCTCCCTTCTCGCGAATGTAATACTTACTTCAACCGTCTATTATCTCACGCTCGATAACGCGCGTAGGTGTATTCGGATAAATGTAACCTAGAAACAGATGACCGCAATTTGATGGGCTGAAAACCCTAAGCGTTGAAGTCACTAAACGCGCGCGACAAGTGACTCGACGATCTCTCCGAGCGGGCTTTCGAAGGCGAGGAAGGAGCGAGAACGCGGTTTTTTGGCGTTCAAATCTCTCCGACTGTAATCGCGAACGTTAAGCGGTCGCTTATCGCGATATGATGCGTTTGAAGTTGCCGATGATGCGATGCGAGATGCGCGAGACAGTATTCGCCGCATCAAACGCGCGATAATTTGATTACCGACAATTTAGAGCGATTCTCCCGAAGCCGAGATAAAATCTTCCATTTCGAGATTTGATACTTCAAAAGCGCTTAATACGAGGATCGCGTGCTGTATAGAATGTTTTACAAACAAGAAATCATGTCACAGTTATAATGTCACAGTTTATAATAATTGTAAATGTGTTTTATTATTATTATACTTATGTTTAAATTTCGTTTTCTTTCTTTATCCAGGACATAATTGTAGCTTAAATATGGAAAATAATAATATAAAATAATAAAGTAATAATAAAATATGATGAAAAAAATGATAAAAAAAGTAAAATATGATAAAAAATAATAATAATAAAAATAATAATAAAGTAATAATAAAATATGATGAAAAAATAGAATAAGGAGAACAAGGATTCGAGAACATCTGTTGTCGCAATTTATTGATTATTTCTATCTTTATTCATTAATACTGTCATCTGATGTAAACCAATAATCTCGCGTAGAGATTAAATGACGTCATCAAGATTGATCACGAGAGGGATATTATGGTCCCACGCGCAATAAAAACTGAGGCGACTATTTAAGCCCGACAAAGTGAGTCATCGGGACTCGCGCCGCTAATGTAAGCTTACTTAATGGCATCCCTTTTGTTTACTTTGCTCGTACGTACTTATTTTATCAAAGCGTGGGTCTTTCCTATTGGGAGCGACGTGATGTCATCCAAGATAAGAGAATTATAGATTTTTGCGCCTTCCCGTGCGATACGTCATGAAAACATGTGTTATTTTGCGCGTCAATTTATACGAGTGCAAGTGAAATCACCATATTGTTTGTCGCGGTTAACAGGAATCTACTATATCTACTAACGATATTGATCTCTGAGAGGAATCTGTTATATCGGGTGATGATATGTGTAGGTTTTTAAAATCGTGCATCACTTTATATCTTTCTGCTTGCGTCCGAACATATATTCTTCATAAAAACAATGCACAAATAATAATACTTTCCACAAGAATTAAATCGATGGAAAATAAAAATCATATTTCCAAAAATATGATAGAAATTTGTTACGCATTCTTTTTTTTTAATAATTCAGTGAAAAAATAAAATATTTATTTCCAAAATACCTAGAAAGAACGCGAATTTCTAACTTTTATTTTTCAAGTAACACAATTTATATCTTATTATATAACCTTGGAGAGACAAGCCGTTCCAATTATCCTGTAAAAGGACCGAGCAAAAAGCGAGGATTTTTACGGGGTGCGATCTGTCGTCGTCGGAAACCGCTCGCGCCATCGAACGTCCATCGCTCGTATCATCGTCGCGTCGTCGTCGTCGTCGTCGGCGGCTTCACCCCCCTGCTCGAGCCCCGCCGGGACGGCTCGGTCGAGCTCAGCTTCAGCTCGGCGGAGCTTGAAGCGCCATCGAAGATGGCGGCCAGAGGGTAGGGTCGGGTCGGAGACGCGCGACGCGAGGCAACCTCTTCCCCGGGTGGAGACGGCCGTGACGGATATCGGGGCGAGCCGCCCGCTCGAGTCCAAGTCGCTCCGGTGAGTAAAGACGGCCGCGGGCCGCGGCCACGTTCGCCTCCTCTCCTGTCAAATATATCACGTGTGCGCGTCGCACCTGTCGGCGGCGGCCGCGGGTAACTAACTACGTCGCGCGCTTCGCAGGCGCGCCGACGAAATCCCGCGATCCCTGTTGCCTTTCGGTAAGTTCAATGCGCACAGATCCGTGTCACGTACGTACAACGGCCGCGAGGAATAGGAGCAACGCGCGTGTGTATCCCGCGTGTGTATGCGTGCGTGTATCGTACGCGCCGCGAGCCTAATCTATATGTATACGCGGGAGAGAAAGATGTTATCGAATGCGAGCCGCCGAGATGCGCGAGAGATCGGGAAAAATGTTAAAAATCTCGCACGGGAAAGTTGACACGCGAAAGAATCTTGTGGTGAGACTGAAAAATGATTCGCAAAATATTCGCTTAATTTTTCGGAGTAATTTCTCGGAGCCTGGACTCGTCATTTTTGTATCGAAAATTATAGCATCATCGATCGAAGTATATCGAGAATAATGCCTTTTGAATTGCTGTTAAATTTTGCGAAACGACTATTTGATATTCAAATAAAAATATAAATATATAAATAAATATCTGAGTATATTATTACATTTTTGTATCGAAAATTATAGCATCATTGATCGAATAAGTATGTCGAGAATAATGCTTCTTGAATTGCTGTTAAATTGTGAAACGTGTTATTTTGTATTCAAATAAAAATATAAATGTGTAAATAAATATCTAAGTATATTATTACTAAAATTTAATAAAAGAAATACATTTTGAGTAAACTACTTATATGAAGTATAAATGTAAAATTTACTCAGACACGTTGGCGAAAGATCTCTTCTCGAGTTGCGTTCCGAGTGCGATGCAATTTTGTTAACGAAGCGTCACCCTAGCACAACGAGCGCTTTATATTTCTCGTTAGCCGTGTCGCACTCCTCAGGTTGCTCCACTTTTCTCGCAAGCGTCGTCGACGATGGTGACAAAAATTGATCGGCGCGGTTAGCGGATCGGGTCACGTAAAGGCGTGCGAGCTTTCAATCGCGCAATGTAAATGCCCTCCGCGATCAATGCCTCCGCGTATACAAGGTGTCCCGCCATCAACCGTGTAAAATATTAATGATCCTTTCAACGGTCTTTTGAACGTTTTATTTTCTTCACAATGAAAAAAATTTCGAAAATTTCTGCTTTAAAAATATTCGAAAGTACATCGCAGATTCTTCACGACTCTCTCAAGCTCCAAGAATGTAAGAATTTCCCAGGTAGCACGAAAAGAAAATCTTAAAAATGTTAAAAAAATAATAAAATGTCCTTTAGAAACATGTATTATCTATTTGGGTTGATTTAAAAGAATTTGAAATATTTTTTCCGGTATTTTATTCTACACTGAGCAAAATATTGTAAATTTGACTAAATAATGTTTAAGTATTTAAATTAAATACGACATATTAAATCTAATATGACATCTATTTAATTTAAATATTTTAATATTTTAATTAAAAAAATAATTCGTTAAAAATATTTAGTCAAATTTACAATTTTTTGTCTCAATGTACATAATATTAAATGTTGATTTTTATACCAAAATCGAGTTGGCATCGATAAAATTTCATAAAATAATCAATCAATTAATTGTAACTTTATTAATTGAACATCCTATATATATATATATGAGAGACAGATTCCGCATTTATTTTTTTTTTATTTTAGTTATGTATTGGAAAATATTTAAATGTTTTATTTTCGATTTGTTTTTTACTGATATATTTCACAAAATGCAGTTAAAAACTAATTATGTAATTTAATATGATATAGTATTATATTATATAAAGTTTAATTTGTTATTTGTATTTCTCTCGCCAATAAAATTAAAAAAAAAATATTGATATATTTATTAAAATTGAAATTAAAATGCTTTTGTTATTAGTAAGAAATAAAATTTAATTTAAATTATAAATAATTCGAATTATTGTAATTAAATAATGGAATAATATTAAAATTTGAATAATATTAATTATGTTATCTAACCAGAGTTATTTTTTAACTGCATTTTAATTGTCGTAATTTTTAAAGTGCTTATTTCGTCGTAATATTTTTCTGTGTTTATCTAACATCCAATAAACAAACAATACTATCGTATTATCAATGGGATGTATAATTTAATATCGCTAATTGCAACTAGCAAAGAATTGCCTCCGTGTCTCTAATTTCTTTCAGATGGTGACGGGTTTCTCCGATTTCCCGCTAATTCAGGATTCAGAGTCGGAATACTACGCAGTGGCTAAAACATATTAACATACGCACAAATTCATTCTCATTTTCTTTCGATATCGATAGCCGATTAACATGCTAATATCCATACTTCCTTTACTCGTCAACGTCTAGTCAGAGAGATAAAAAGAAGAAAGAAGATTATAATTCGGCGCGAAAAGAAACCTTCGATTGAGATAAGGGTCGACGCACACGAGTACAACCGAAACTAAACCAAAGCGTGTAAATATAGAACCAAGATAACCCAGCTGATTCACACAGAGGAATCTCAACGGTCATCCTCCTCACGAGGCGTTGCGCGGTGATATCATACCAAAGAAAAATCGATCCTATACTAAGTTCCTGTCTAGAGTCTACTCCAACTCTATTGACTATAATGGAGTAGCGAAGATACAAAAGCGAGCAATCAATCATTCGAGATCAAATCTGGAAAAAGTCGGTCGCGACGCTTTTTTATCAATATTGAATTAATTAGATAAGATAATTAAGAATCGAAGATTTAATCGCGATTAAAAGTACAATATCGTACAAGTGTCATCGAAATACTAGAGATTATACTTAAGTGCTGCAAATCAAAAAGAAGCGCAAAGAAACGGATTAGCTGAGAAAACATCTCGAAAAAGCGATCGACGTTACATTGCGAAATCATTATTGGGCGATATCGATCTGATGTGGGATAGCGACTCGAAAATTGCGACGGGTTGATCGAGTTCCCCGGTAACATCGATGCGGTGTTGGTCGGTCGCGTCAGCGTTTCCAATTCAGCGACCGCAGGAAGCGACACGCGTGAGAGGACTTCTTCGTTAAAGGGACGGTTTATCCAGTCTTCGTAGTCGACAGCGGGAGGACGAACGCGAAGCGCACGTTGCTGATTTTTATGAACTCTTCAATCATCGCTCTAGAGATTGAAAAATCACGTTAACACAATCTCAAAGATAAAATCTCGAAAAAACACAAATAACTTTCTGATATCTGTTAAACGAATCTCATACGGCGATGTAATTAATAGTTAAGATAATGCTTCATTATCGGAAAAATTAACAATCGATTGCTGAAGCGAGAATTGTCGAGAGTTGTCAATAATAATACACCGAAGGAACAACAGCTTCTAAATAAGCTCGCTCTCCAGAGAGACTCGAACGCCGTTTATACTTTAAAATCAATGAGAACGAAAGCCGGGATAAGTCACGGAGCACATTTCGAATGCGCGATCTTATTCGGAAATCTCCGAGAACGAATTAGCCTCGAAGTAAAGCAGGCGATGATAAATGCTGCGACGAGTAGGCGAATGACAGGGTGAAAAAGGTGAGAGGTCACAGACATAAGAAAGGAAGGGTTGCGGTGACAGTCGTGCGGAGGGAGGCCGAGGACCCGTCTGGAAGAACGCGGAAAGAGCGACGGGGTGGCGGGAGCGAGGAGCTTCAGCGGGCGAGGAAGAGAGAAGAAGAGAGGGAGAAAGAGAAAGAGAGAGACAGGGGAGGAGAGAAGTGCCCCGTCGAGAGGGGTGCGCATCGGGCTGATATCGACCGAGGATTGCGCTTGCGTGGAAAAAGGCGCGAGCGCAATCGCTCCAAGAGAGCAGCGGCGTCCTCCGCGTCGAAAGAGGAAGAGGAACCTCTCGTTCCCCGTCGTCAGTCGATCGTCGCGCCGACGAGGAACGGGCCGCCGCAGCCGCCGTCCGGGGAAGACTTCCGGTATCCTCCTGGCAGAGGCCGGGCTGGGCCCCGGTGTACGACACGGTGATTCCAACGCCCGCACTGGCCCGCACTTCCGGGAGCCCGAGCTGCCCTGTCCGGGTTCGATCTCGCGGTGAGCTCGACTTCGCTCGGCATCGCGTCGGAACTCGCCACCGTCGTCGGAGGACGGGGAAAAACCGGCGCGGGCGGTCGGAAAGGGGGGCAGGCGAGGTATATCGGGACGATAAGAGCGCGATAAGCGGACTCGCGCTTTATAAACGTCTTTGTGCGCGCGTGTACGTGCGTATCTTCTCCTCTCCTCTTCGCCTCTCTCGCTTTCTCGGCCTGACCTCGTCGCCGTTCGCGCCGATAAAAGACGAATCCCGAGTACTCCTTCGAGAATAACAGCGCCGCTGCCACCAGTTCGGGACTGACGATACCGCGGCGTGGTTATTAGGGCATTAAATGACGAACGAAGTTTGAGATCCGATCGAATTCGTCTTGCTTCGTCGCTGCGAACGCGATCGCGTCGCGTTCGCCGAATTTTTAATTGCACGACATGAAGCGACATCGATGCCTGGCGGTTTCATCCGGTTTCATTCGGAGGTGAATTATCATAATGCATAATAAATTGACAAGCCGAGCAGTCGCGACTCGATGCAAGATAATTTTCTGAACTATCGAGATTTATCTGTAGAAAATTTGATCTTGACTTGCATATCGTACGATGTCGAATTTCATATCTATCGATGTAATTCTTCGGGGTAGTAACGCGTGTTTATGAGTTTTATCAGGGGGAAAAACAATCGATGCGACTTATCTAAAGCCGAGCAGCTGACACGTCATACAATATGCTGAGATAATCAAAGTCGAGCGTCGAAGTCTCTCGAGGCGTTATATCGTGATCGCGTTGCCTGTGGCAAGACACAATGATCAGCATGCAGCAGCAGACAGTCTTTAACCAGGTAGCCGGGTCTGAGCAGCCGCAGGAGGAAGTTCAGCTGACCGAATTGCTACCGGTGAAACAGTCGCGTATCAGGGAAAATATTTTCAAGGACGGTGATGCAACTGACGCTCTCAGAGCACTGAGAAGTTTTTCAGGCGATTGCGGCGACGGGGAAAGCTTCGAGTTGCGGGATTACTTCTGCAAAAGCATCGATCAATCGGAACGTCAAAATAACGGTAAGCATCGACGAACGGAAGCTCGTCGAAGAAGAACGGGCGGACTCAGGAACAATGCTGAAGACGTAGGCTCCGATGAAGAGAAACACGATGGCGAGGCGATAGGAAAGAACACGAAGAAGACACGAACCGGCAAGAAAAACATTCGAAAAGCACCGAAGAGAAAATTGGCGAGATCAAAAAGGAAGGATGACGACAGGGATAGCGATTATGAAACGAACGAGAAATCTATCAGGAAGAACCCTGTCGGATGCGACGAAGAATTCACGCCCGATTACGATGAAGAGGACGTCGACGAACAGTTGTATTTGGATTTAGATAAAAGAGATTGTTTTAAAGATGAAGTATATGTATATAGGCGAGAACCGCTGGAGCCATGCTCGGGCTCGGAACCGGAGGAATTGGGAGCGATCCAAGATCGCGAGATCCAGCAGGACTTTTGCGAGAAGGATTACTCCACTACGGATGGCGATTTATTCGACGGGACTGTTAGGCGGAAAAAAAGTTTCGCTAAAAACATCAAGAACAGCGAAAAAGGAAAATGCGAGACATCAAATATCGATGAAGCTATCGAGAAGGAAAATTCTGAGAAAGAGCTTAGACTGAAGATCGATGCCATCATTCAAGCGAATTATCTGCTGGAGCGTGAGAACAACAACGTCGTTGGTTCCGAAAAACTGAAAATCGTGGAGAATATTAGCAACTCCTCCATTGCCGCATCGTTAAACACGGAGAGTAGCGATAGCTCCCTATGCAATTCTATCGAAACGAAGAAGACGACGAAGAGAAAAAAGAAGAAGAAGAAGATCGAGCAGAGAGATTCGCAGATGAAGGATCAGCAAAATCCTCAGAAGAAATACTGTTGCGTCGTATGCGACGCGCGCTTTAAGGGTAGCGGTGGTCTGCGAAATCACTACAAGGTAGTGCACGGCGCCGGACCGGTGTACAAATGCGACGAGTGCGGCAAGGAATTTCCGTTGAAGGAACGGCTGAAGCTGCACGTGCGCACGCACACCGGCTTCAAGCCTTACAAGTGTTCAGAGTGCGATAAAAGCTTTGCGCGGGGCGGTCAACTGGTGCAGCATCGTCGTACGCATAGCCAGGTCAGGCCGTTCCGTTGCGGCTTGTGTTCCAACAGCTTTACCTGCGCGGCAAATCTGTCTCTCCACGTGAAGCGTCACAACGGCCAGAAGGATCACAAGTGCGATCTATGCGGACGCGCCTTCGTGCGCCGCGACGCCCTGAAGAAGCATCTGGAGTGCTTACACCGCGACGTCAGGTCATTCCTCTGCGCAATCTGCAACAAGACTTTCAAGGGTCACCTGCCGCAGCACATGAGGACGCATGCACGCGATCGTCCGCACGGCTGTGCCACATGCGGCCAGCGATTCGCTCAAAAATCCCAGCTGACTGTGCACCAGAGGACCCATTCTGGTCAACGGCCTTTCCGCTGTCTCGTCTGTTGGCAGGCCTTCGCTCACTCGACCGCCCTAAAACTGCACACCCGCCGTCACACCGGCGAACGACCCTTCAAGTGCTCCGAGTGCAACGCCGGCTTTACTCAGCTGCCGCATTGGAAGAAGCACATGAAGTGCATACACGGTAGGAATGATCCGTACGGTTGTAAACTTTGTAAGAGTTTTTTTAGAATCAAGAGCGATCTGGAAAATCATGAGAAGACTTGCCATCCGGAGATGGAAGTGGAAGATGACGGTAACGGTGTTGCCAGCAAACCGAACGGCGGATTCGAGATTGTTGAGAAGAACTCGGTCACCGCAAAGTATAAATTGATGACAGTGGAAAAGATGCGATTGTTATTAGCGGTGCTGCTCAAGAGGATCAGCAAGCAGGAGCGATTGGACGAGCTCGGCTTCGGTAAACGTCTCATCGATGATGTTCTTCAAGACTCGCTGGTGTCCGCTGGTAAGGAACCGGTCACGGGGGGTGGCTCCGAGCTCGAGACTCTCACCCGAAACCTGGAGATCTTCTTGGAGTGGACGGTGCCGAAGGAACACTGGGAGAATTTCCGTAGGATGAAAAAATCGCCAGAAGATATTTTGGAAGCACTCACGGCTACGTAAATATACGTAATTCGTTTGCTAGCAATAATTTTATTATCTTCCTTCATTTTATTATCTTCGACGTGAGAGCAAAATCCAGACCAGTTTAAAATCATCTCGCACATTTTTATACAAACAATGGAATATTTCAATAAGTGCTTTTTTTCTCTGTGTATTCTCTCGGTTTTAGTCGTATCAAAATTCATATCAAAATTCAATCATTTATAGTTCGAATCATCTAACATTTTATAACTTTTCATAACTTTTTCCTGATACTTTGATATCTTTAACGTTATTAAACATTTGATTTTTTCATATATATATATATATATATATATATATATATATATATATATATATTTTATTTTTACATTTTTTCCAATTCATAATTTATTAGAAAAATTTTTTAGGAAGTGAAAATGAGCATTGCAACGATCAATTGGTATGATCTCTACATCTTCGTTATTCTTAACGAAACTAATAACGAATTCTTTTACACGCAAGGACTAGCGGGTCATTTTTAATCAATTAATGAAGAATGAAACAATCAAAGCTAGATTTAAATCTATTGACGTGCGTATATATAGTTTTTCTCACTATCTTTTTCCTTCTTACATAAGCTTTTTTTACTATTCGAAATTGGGAAATGCGTAACATTTCACAGTGTTTTTCCGTGTGATATATACATATAAAATAATTAACACAAATGTGTTAAATAATATCCTGTGGTGCCATGTGTTGTAACATTTGCCATACTGAACCAGTGAGTATACCGTATTGTTTAGAAGCTAAAGTAAAATATAAATCCGTCATTTTATTTATAGCGTAAAGTAAACTAACGAAGAGTAGCGCGTTGTTGAATTGAAAAAATCGATACAAAGAAAGCACACGTGTTTTTCTCAAACGACAAGTAAATCACGCACCGCGCTTCCTTACGCGATTTTACACGACTGAAGTAGAATTAGATGTTCTCTTGCCATATTTGTTAAAGCATACATATACATACAAATGCACATTAGTAAAAAAATACAACGGAGGCTTGCATTTTTGCACTTACATTTTATCGTAATCGTAAGCACACACGACTGTTCGTCAATCGCATACCAAAAAAAAAAACGAGGCTATTACGAGTCATTCATAATTATGCGTATGTTCTTTCACACATGCAATCGTTATTATCCTTACATATTTATAAAAATATACACACATATATATTGTATATCTATTATATACATACATATTTATAAATTGAATATTATATTATGAGATTTTTGTTATGTGTTCACGGGCACGTCTAGAAAACTGTGTCCTGCGACGTTCCCGTTTGTAGTTGACATTATTATTCGTTATTTATCTCATTCTTATGCGCTCGCGCGCAATTAACGATACGGCTTGATTGGCCGCGGATGAGCAAACATGTTGCGCCATTGCCATCACTTTAGATAGTTGTAAGTAAATGTGAACAGACAATAATGAACGAAGGTTGCAAGATTAGTATAATATTAGTCATTGAGGAAAAGATATATCCATATACATTCATATATACACACATAGAGTATATCGGAAATTATAATACAATTTAAATGGAAATGATTTCTTGTGTAAAAATAAATTGAACATGTAAACTAACTTCTTTCGTACAAAATTTTGTTGTCAAAAAAATCAACTCTCTTTAAAAGTTGAAAAATTTATAACATGCAATATTTCTTTTAAGTTTAAATGATTTTTAATAATCTTCTATTATATGTTATCTCAGTCTTCTCTCATGTACATATATAACATCTTTTTTATTATATATATGAATCTTGAAGGGTTATTAATCCCTAAATAAAAAATGTTTATCTTATGTTTAGTAAAAGTATTTAAAATAATTTAAATTATATATTGCGGAGAGAAGAGTTATATGTATATAATATATAAGATTATTTCTTTTTTCAATAGAATATTATATTTATCTTTAATAATATTAATTATCAAAATACATATCTCTCTCATCCAAAATATAAATAATTTCTTCACATCTTTTATTATTTTAAATTGCTTGTTTTGTGTTTAAATAAAATGTTGTATTTTTTATTTGTATTAAAATAGTTATTTAATGACATATAATATACAGTTATTAGAGATTATTCAAGCTTATAAAAACTGTATATATGTTTAGTTTAATTAATTCTCTTAAAAACAAAATACAAAAATATGATGTACGAACAAAGTATTCTACATCTTCGACTTATGTTTGCTTGAAAGAAATCACCTCCATTTTGATCGTATCATTTTTACTAATTTTTTTTATTAATTTCCGATACATTCTGTATATATATGTACATACATATATTAATAAACTGATGGTTGCGAGGGGAGAGGAACACGATTCATGTCTTATTTTAATTCAAAGATGCCAAAAATCGCAAAAAAGTAATCGCTTTGATGAAAAAATATAATTACATACAGTAATATGTAAACTATCAAAATATATAATTATTTGATATAAATTCTTTTTATAGACCATGATTGTTACTAATACATACAATCAAAAATAATTTTATATTCTTAGAATTGAGCAACATGACTTCTTATATACGCGAAGAGTTCCTTTCCTTGACGTACCATTAGAATATTTCTCGATCGTACGGCTAAAAATAGTCAAAAATACTGCAATCGACGTGCAGGTGCTATTTTATGCAATGTAGTCGTTCGAAATTTCAAAACTTATTATAGGAGAACGATTCGTTCTGTTTTTTCGTCTTTCGATACGCTAAACGATCGAGATATGATGTCGAATCCAAAGATAAAGACTTTGTTACTTTTTCATTGCCAAATATATTATGTATTTACCGTTATGTTTGATATAATTTCAATTTTATTATTAACAGCGATATATCAAGATGTATTTTACGTATTGTGCGTCTGTAAAACGAGGACCGTATGTACAAGCGGCGCTTTTATTTATGCGTGTGACGCACCTTAATGTATTAACATGAGCGCGAGCTATGGCGTATGCAGTGTGACTTGCGTTTTCAAATTTATTCGGAAGATCGAAATCTGTTCGCTTTAACTCGCGCGAATGCAAATGAGGGTCGGAGTGCATTTTGAATATAGATCGAGGTCAAAGAAGAGCCGTCTCGAATGGTCAATGGGAGACGCGTGGCTTCCCATACTTCTTAACTTGAAGCTTATACTCTTCGATGACTTTGTGGTGCCAAAGCAAATAAATAACGCTCGCGAAATTAATGTGGTCCATGTTCTATACATGTTTCTCTGCGAATTTTATTGTTCACATCATTTTCCTACGAAATTACCAAATTACATTATCATTACGATATTACTTTCTTCTCATATTTTTACAGTTAAAATTAGAATACCATTGTTTTTCGTTAGTGCCATAAATAATAGTCATATTTATATATGTATATTGTATATGAGAGAAGACAATTTGAATAAACATGTTTCTTTACTCACTTGTCTCCTTTAATCAATGTGGTTTTTATGTATTATTCCACAATTACACAAACAGTAACAAATGTTTTCACATTTTTTTATTCAAGAGAAAAAATGTATCTCAAAGTATGATACTTAATACGTATGATATTAAAATATACGTTTAAAATACATATCACTCATATATGTATAACAAACTTATATGTAAATATATTTTCATTTAACCATATATCACAAATGTTGCATTAATTAGTATTTATAAGAGTTATGAGATTTACGTGCATAATCGAGAAAATTTATATGAAATTAGTGAAATTATAGAGATTAAAATCAGAGAGATTCTATGTCACTGTATTCTTCTTCATAAAACCAATAAAATACAAATAATTGTCTCATGTCCACTTGCAGGTCAATGATACTCAGACTCTGAAATAATTTTTGGATATTTAAAAAAATATGTTTCTCTATTAACATATATCTCATTTTATTATTTTTCAAATACTTATAATTGTAAAACTTACTGCTGTATAAGGCTCGTATTTAAATCCTATCTCATTCTGATTTAGAAATACTTGGGACACTTGTTCCTCTATTCCCAAAATCTGAACTTTCCCAAGAATCACCTCTTTATTAAAAAAAGAGCCATCCATTTTAATGTTGAGTAAGCTGGATGTGTTTGCAGTGAAAGATAACCACAAATATTCCTCCTTTCTTATGGAATCTGTAAATTAGAAATGTAATTGAAAAAATTATCAGGATATACATCCATTTAATTGTGCAATATATAAAATATATTACACACCTATACTATCACCATCATCCCAATACAGTTCTCCTTTGGCATTCCCAGCTTCATTTAATGATACTATCAATTCAAAATTATTTTCTCTGCTTTCTGTGGTTGTTGCACCCGGCTTCTGTGCTGGAAGAATCGAGCCTCCACGAATCAATAATGGTATTTTATCGATTGGTGCATATAATGTATGATATGTTCCAAAGGAAAAGAAGGAATCGAGACTATAATAATCATACCATAGGCCATATGGTACATAAACATCTATATTAGTTTTATTCTGTAAAATATATAAGTAATATTAAAATTTAAAAAATATTAAAGCATCTTATTTGCGAATAATAAAGTAAATAATTAAATAAAAATGAAGAGCGTACTTCTTCAAGAACTGGATTAATCATAAGCGCACTTCCCCAAAGAAATTGCGTATCAATGTCGTAAGTTTTTAGATCATCGATAAACCTATATCACATATATATTAGTACAATGTCGAATATATATAAGACAAGATACTGATACATACTCAAAAAATAATGGACGTGCCACTGTTTCACCGAATCTATGTGCTCTGAAGAATAAAGTATATAAATATGGTAAAAGTCGATAACGTATTTTGAGAGCGCTCTTTGACGATTGTACAACCAAGTCTCCCATTGCAACTGGATCCTGTTCCTGTATATAAACATTTACATATATACATTATATAAAAAATATTTCAATAATTCTATTATTAATTCATATTTCGGCATTCTCTCACAATTGTATCGTCTGAATTATGATTTCGAGAGAATGGATAGAAAGCACCAAGTTGCATCCAGCGATTGCACAATGCTATAGTCGTGTTTCCATTAAAACCGCAAATGTCCTCGCCCACCATTGGAATTTGATAGAAATTGAGGGTCAAAATGGCTGGAATGCCCATTCTTAAATCATGCCTAATAAAACACTTTTTCAATTAGTAAATAAAGAGTACAATTATACAATGAAATATATTATAAAATGTATCTTGAAATTACCATGTTGAATAAATGTCACCCGTCCAATGGCCAGCATAATGACCGTGTCCTACCCACGTCGAACGCGAAATTATAAATGGTCTCTTCTGTCTGATTTTCCTGAGGGCACTGCACATAATTTAAGATAATGTATCTTTAAATAAAATAAGTTCTCTTGTAAAATTAGGAATAAGATTATGTGAATTATATTTCTATTTACTAATTTGTGGAAATCGCTTGACTTATTCCATAAGTATTGTGAAGATCATAATGAGATCCTAAATAATGTTTTGCATTCATGCACAAAGTCTTTGTAGCGAGCAAATCTCCGACAACATTGGGTAAATATTCGGGAAAATCCAGATGATTATACACACAACCGTTTTTATGACCATTATAGAAGTTGGATGGTTCATTCATATCCTGAGTAATTGAAATAGTTTTTGAATAATCATCGTGTAATTTTTAAAAATATGAAGAAAATTTTTTTAAATAAGTCGAGACTTACAATCCATGCACCATCATATGCAAAACTGTCGTGCATATTGCCCATCATATTTGCATAATATTCCATCGTTTCAGGATTTGTAAAATCGGGCCACACCGTGGAGACTGAATTCCAGACTTTGCCAACAAAAGGTTTAGACGTTATACCGTCTTTTATGAATATATCCTGTTTTATTCCCTCGTCGTATGGTGGATAAGAACCATTTTTTTCGGAAGCGGATATACCAGCATCTATTAAAGGAATGTAGTGCATTCCTACCTAAAATAAAAGAAATTGTTATGATGTATTTGCTGTAAGATTGTGTAATAATCTTTTGTAAATATTATATATATTAATATATCATACTGAATGAATTTCTTCTATAAATTTAGGCAAATCTTTAAATTTCTCTTTATTGTATGTAAAGTCATTGTTTTTGTCCATGTAATCCAAATCATTCCATTGAGTATCCTATAAATAAAATAAATACAATATTTATAATAATTTATAATTTGTTTTCATATCTTAAAATATGTTTTATAAACAATAGCATGTTATTTGTAAAACAGCAAATATTACAAATGGAATTCCAGCTGCTCTTGTTCTGTTCCAAACTGCTTTAGTTTCTTCTAAGGTTCTATATCCAAATCTGATCAACATAGAGAATATTGTTAACTATCATATCAAATGTATGTATCATGTTATTTTAATGATATAATACCTGCATAAGTGGAAGCCAAGAGACCAATAAGGTGGCATGAATGGTTTACCCACAATCTCAGAATATTGTTTTACAACATCAGCTGGAGTTGGTCCCAAGAAAAAATATATATCGAAAATACCACCAATTGTCCTAAATGTTATAGCCGGCGTAGGCTGCAATATCACATCTAAAAGATAATATTCATATATTCACATTATTTCAAAATAATTAGATTATTCACATTATTTCAAAATAATGAGAATATTATATACTTATTATAAAGATAACTTACCCATAGCGTTACTGTTTAAAAATAAAACTCCATGAGCCATTCCAGAATTTTCCACAACAATATAAAATGGATGAGATCCATATAAATTTGCCTAATTAAAGAAATAAAAAAAATATTATTTGTAATATGTAACATCAATTCATTTGTATGTAGGATAAAATTGAGGAATATACATTTTCTGTTGGTGGTTGATCTTTGTTGAATAAAGTAAATGATTGCCAATTAGTATTTAATTTTAAACTTGATCTGTGTTCACCAATACCATAAATATTATTTGTTGGTAATAATGTAGTTATTTGCAGAAATTGATCAGCAAATATGAAACCTCCAATCCCAATGGAATTAAATCTGAGTGTAGATTATAAATTATTAAATATCATACTATTAAATGATTCGTATTTTATTTAGCACTGAAGCTAAGTAACTTGATTAAATTGTGCAAACTTTATAGATATTAATATCTGAACAATATAAATATATAATACAATATAAATAATGTGTACTTACAATGTTGTTCCATCACTAACTCTGTCGACCTTAAACCCAGGTTTTACATTATCACTGTTAAATTGATATGTTGTGTTGGTAATTTTAGATAAAAATGGTTTTGGGTTTGATCTAATTGGCCATGGTGGTTCATATCGGTTTTTCAAGGGATCATACATCTAAAAATTAAAGATATTCCAGAATAATTTTTTTTTATATTATAGTGTTAGTTATATTATAGTGTGTGATATAAAGCAAATTATTCTATAAATATTTATTATTACTTTTACACGCAGGATTGAACTGTCTATACTTGTAGCCTCTATCTTTACAAGAGGGACATCATTCTTATAAGGAGATTTTTTCTCTTGCTTGAGAAAACCTAAGAAGTCACTACCATCTTTACTCTGATTAATATATTTATACAGATTCCAATCCTGAGGATAATAACAATAAGGAATAGCAAGTGGCACATGTCCTGTAATTTTATTTCTGTCAATAGAATTCCAACAACATCCTCTATTTGTACAGGAAAGTTGCGATGCTCCATCCTCTGGATGACAATCAAAGCGTAATATTTCAGGAATATTGGTGCATTGCTTCAACACATAAATGATATGATAAGTAAACAGAATATACATAACATATAATAAATCCTAAGAATTAATCTAGGATTAATCCAGGAATAATCTAGGTTTTTAACATATAATAATTAATATTAATTTTTTTTTATAACAAAAAGATTTTATTTACTTACTTGAGTATTATTAAACGTGTTTTGTTCAAATAAATTTTCTTTCCTTAAAGGTACTACTTTATAATCATACTTTTGTTGTTCAATGTGAGTATCAAAAGTATCCACTAATATATCCTGGTACTCTGTCTTTTTGTCAGTATTGTTAGGTATAAAAATTGTAAACTGTATTTTTACACTATAATCATTCATGGTGGTGAGCATTGAATTTGTAATCATAGACAAAATTGGAAAACTGAGATGACATAAAAATAAAATCATGACACACGCAAAGGATAATATTATCATTATTTGCTTCATTCTTATACTATTTGCATTATTATCATTCTCATTGTTATTATTTTCAAGAGAGTTTAATGCTTCTGTTTCATGATTTTTTCTCGTTAAGTTGTAAGATTCTTTGTTCGGCATCATAATCTTACAATTATCAATTTCTGTCACAATATTGTTCGAGTAATCTTTAACCACTGTATTATACTTTGGTTTTTTAGGGGCATTGTGCCCATTTTTTGCATGAGTCATTTCTAAATTAAATCATATATCAAAATTGTCACAATTTTTAAACTGTTGTGTCTGAAAATAATAAAGATATTAAAGACATTTTAAGAAATAAGAATGCATTCTACACAAATTAACAAAAATTTTACAAAAAAGTAATAAATATCTACAATAAACGCAATCTTACACAAGAATTATATTTTTAGATTTTTTTTCTTTGGTGAGAAATATATATATATATATACACACACAAATAAAAGTGTTAATAAAATATTAAATCATAACCTCTTTATATCTATAATGTCACATTATACGAATAATACGTATTATATTTTTATAAAAAAAATTTTACATTGTGTATATATTATATAGAACTTACATTAAAAAATTATTTTCGGACAGACAATCTTGTACTTCGAGCAGTCGACGATCTCTTATGACACATAGGATAGGCCGAATTCCGTAAAGCACATAGAATTCCTCGCGCATTTCCTTACAGTATGCGTGACGCATACTATAGATACATGCACGCATATGCGCTTTACGAACTCTGCCCAAGTCCGATATGTTATCAGCAGAATAGTTCGCTTGAGTTCTTTATAACTTATCAAATTCCCGTTTTATTACTCATCAGTATGATAAATAAAAGATATTACAAACAGTTTATTTATCCAACATGTAGTAAGGTAGGGAAATTGGATATTTATACTAGTATATACATATATTATTGAATTCATAAGAATCACGCTAATCGAAGCAATAAAACACAAAATTTTATACGAAAAGTTGCATTACAATAAATTCAAAGTTTTTGTTACAGATTTTAATTAGCAAGATATAGGTATATTTACATATAGAATTTGGTACAAAAAATGTATTTACACATTTTGCATGGAATTATTAGGACAGTTTTCCTTTTCTTCTTCACATTTTTGAACAATACCTGAAAATAAAATCACAATTTTTTTCATATCTTGTGTAAAAAAGTTAGATATTTTACAAATTATATTAAAGTCTTACGTTTGCAAATTTCGTTTAAAGCATTAACAGTTGGTGAATTCGACATTTCAGTCAAAAAATTTTTACCCTCATCACAACATCTGGCTAACAATGGATCCAAAGGTATTGAACCTAAGAATTCTATATTCAGTTCCTTTGACATTGCTTGTGCACCACCTGTCGAAGCTGGGAATATTTCTGCAGTATTCTGTATACAAGGATGTCCTTTCATCAATGTTTATATCCTTTTTTTTATACAGTCTCCAAATCTTATTATTCTTACCTTGCATTTAGGACACACAAAGGTACTCATGTTCTCAACCACACCTAAGATTGGAATGTTTACTTTTTGACAAAAATTTATTTCTTTCCTGACGTCTAAAAGAGCAACTTGCGGCGGTGTGGTAATGATTATGGCACCTGTAATGCCGGTATCTTTGAGGTAAGATGTGGCTGACAAGTGCTCATCCGATGTACCGGGTGGTGTATCCAGTATAAGATAATCTAAAGTACCCCAGTCAACTTCTGACAAAAACTGCCTGATCATACCTGAATATATACAAATTTGTATACAATAAAAAATTGAACTAACATAATTATAAAAGAGATGAAATTTTAAATATAAACAATACCATTCTTTTTTGGTCCTCTCCATATAACTGCATCACTAGGACTGCTGAGCAAAAATCCAATTGACATCAATGATAAATTATCCTCGATATACTAGAAACAAATAATAACGTGCAATATTATTGTTTTTTTTATAGATATAATATTCCAGTTTCAATAAATTTACTTACTACAGGTGACCATCCTGATCCACTCTGATGAACTTGTTCACCAAGTACTCCAAGTACTCTTGGTTGTGATGGTCCACAAATGTCGATGTCCAATACTCCAATCTATGCCCATAAAACACAAATGAAATATTTAAAATTTAAAATATAATATTTAAATATATTATAAATTAAATCATATTTTTTAGCACTTGTTTATTGATATATGTTTTATTTATTTTGATTTAAAGTATTAAAAAAGAATGAGGACAACTGAAACTTTGGTAATCAATAAAGGACTGGCACAAGTTGATACGACATACATATGTCAGCTGACTATAGATATTCTGTCTGAGGTTATCTCCTAGCAAACTAACTGGTGGCATTCAATATGTTAGAATGTACATTGAAAATCACATGGATATACTTGGAATAGGCAGAAGGGTGAGTTGTTGTATCAACTTGTTTTTCAATTTTGCTGAGATATGTTATTAAATAATAAAATATATGATATATTTATATTAGGACTTATCTTTATGATATAAAATAAATACATTAGTAGATACATTTAATAAATAAATAGATACAAGAAATAAATTCTTTATATCTTTGCTAAAAAAGCATGTTTTAAGCATATATTATTTTAGTTTCACTTATATATGATTAGTTATTACTGATTAAACTTACGTTTCTATCGGAATTATTTGCCGCAAGACATCTGGATATCAATGATGTCACAGTACTTTTGCCAACTCCTCCTTTGCCTGAAAGCACTAGTAGCTTATTCCGCACTGAGGACAACCTTTCTGTCACAAGCGCTATACCAGGATCTGGTTGTTTGGCTGCTCCAGATGAGCATAGTGATTGATTTGGACATCCTGCGCAAGCTGAAGCTTTGCCAGCATTTTCACTTTGAGTTCCGGGACAGTCTGAAAATATATTTCATGCATTTTTTTAACACTGTAAATAATAATACTGTAATTTAACACTGTAAAAATAATTTGGTCCAGATATAATATACATATGATAACATTATATTTTATTTAATCACATATCTCTTAAGTAATGTAGAAAGCTTTTAAAAAAATTATTAAAAATGATAATATAAAATTGCAAGAGACAAGTATATAAAACATGCTATTATAATCTAACCTTAAATCTTTTGATATTTGACATATCATAGGTATAATGTAAAGTAAATGATATATTACAATAATGATGTAATCTTAATGAATGTTAAGTTACTTTTAAAAAACTGTTTTAATATATTTTAGAAATTAATTAATATCAGAAAGCGTAAATTTACGTTCTGGAGCTTCGCTAGGTACGTCTGCCATGATGATTCTTCATCTACTAATATAACATATGTGTACGAAATAAAAACAAATTTTTTTTTATCAGTTTTATAGTCTATTATATTTAATTCCACTATTTTTTTAAGGAACTTTTTTATGAATGATTAATAAACTTTTTCATAAGCCCTGTTAATAAAAAATGCGACTTGTAGATATTCGGATAACCAAGATAGATCCAAAAATTGTATTATTATTAGCAATTGTTAATAGCAACCTCACAGATAGTTGACTATCTGGGGTAATGATTAATGACTTTTTTCATAAATAATAATCATAAATAATTAATTTCTTATTATAGAAATAATATATTCTTCTATTTCTTATATAGAAATAATTTTAATTACGGGATATATAATTATATTTTCTTACTTCTACAATTAGCTGAAAAATGTATAAAGTTATCTCAAAAACGAAAAACTTTTTAAATGTTAAATAAAAGAAAACAATTTTTTATATGTATATTAAAATTAAATGTATAATAAAATAAGATAAATAAAATAAAATAAATTTCTATTATTTTTGTATTATAAATGATCTTAATAATATGCTAATAAGACAATTATTCTCTAATTTTATAACGATGTAATATATAATATTTAAACTCTTTAAAAGTAATGTATTTTTTATACAATTACACTTTAATTTGTAGCAATTGCAACCATGGAGTACAGTAGGAAGTTCAATGCCTTACATGGAACCAGTATTCCCAATTCGTATAGGCGATTACACTCGCACACATAATTTACTGCCATGGAGACCAAATGCTGGATTTGAGAATACAGAAGTTATTCCCTTGTAAGTAAACTCAATATTTCTTCCAGCTGTAAATTCATTTACTTTTTCATTATTCCTATAATAATAATTGTAGATGCAATGTCTTCAAATTCTTCAGAGATACACACTGATATTGATCTAACAAACTATGATGCTATTATATCCATATTTCTGTCATTTTCTCTTATCTTCTTCTTGAATGAATAAACCAGTGAACAGATCGAAGTATACATATAATATGTATGTATAAACAATATAATTACTAATATTATTCTTTTACAGAGCTACAAAGTCAATATCAAGTTATACACTGGGTACAAGTAATAAAATGAGTACACAACCGTTAAAGTTCCCAAATTTGATAACGGGTTATCAACGTAATCCCATTCATGCATCGCAAGCTGCTCTTTATACGAGATATACACCACATGAATGGTTTCAGAAACAAATAAAATATTACAATGAATCAAGTTCACAGAGACATTACTCTGAGAGAATGCGAAATGATGCTCTGAGAGTTATCAGGTATAACAGGTTTTTTTGAGAATATTTCTCTATATTCTCTATATTACATAAAACTATAATGTTGCTTAAATCCAAATTTATCTTGCAGAAATGCTGAAGAAAAGATACAACATGGTCAATATGATACTAGCCGAAGACTTGGTGAAAGAATAAACGATATTACTTTTTGGCGCAATGAAGTGGTATCAGAATTAGAGAGAATGCTTCATGAAATTGAGAGACTTCAAGATTGCCGAAGTATCTTAGAAAAGGCAGTACGAGATATTGAAGGACCTTTACATATCGCAGAGGAGTGTCTTTATCACAGAGAAGCTAGAAAAGGTAACATAACAGAGTTATTCTTAATTATTTCATATATGGAATATTATGTAAGGAGAGTTTTGCTATAAAATCCTTCTTTTTATTTTTAGGCTCTGAATTGGTACATGATGATTCTGAAAAATGTTTATTACGAGAAGTAGAGTATTTACGTATAAAACAAAAGGAATTACAAGCTTGTTTGGACAAATGCAAGGATCAGGTAAAATTTAATCTGAATATCTTAATCTTAATCTCTGATTTTTTGTTTATATAATATCTAATTGACTAACATAATTAATAAATTAATATTATTTGGCTTGCAGTTACGAAATTGCAGAGCCTCGCAGAATCAATTAGAACTGGATTTAAAAAATAAGGAGAGTGCATTAGGTATAGATACTATTTGTCATCAGTTGAATAATCATACTCAAGGATTACAATATTATTCCGGAATTGAAAAATATAATCCATGGTAATTAATTATGACGAGATTTATAAATAATTCTTATAACATTATATGATAAAAGTACATACCATTATTTGATTAGCGTTTCGGAACAAGAAACCTGGGCAGATGCGGTGAATAGGATAGTGCAAAGATCCCAAACGGAGCGAAATAAGTCATGTCAATTACGTACCACTGCCGAAAGTCTTATTAATAAAGTTGCTCAAGAAATGTGGACTACATGGAGTAACACCAATAATGCTTTAGCACATAGATCTTCCGAATTATTGGAAGCTAAAAATAAGCTGCAACAACATTTACAAAAGGTATTTACTAAAGTTAACACGTTATTTTTCTCAAACTAAATTGTGATTTATGAAATATTACAGTTGCAACAAGAAATATTCGATGTTGAGAAAAATTTGGAATTAATGCGCAAAGCTATTGCCGACAAAAGTTATGCGACTAAAGTTGCTCATACAAGAATGGAAGCGAGAATGCATCGTCCTGATGTGGAATTATGTCGCGATTATGCCTATGCGAGGTGTGTATTGTGTTTTGATAACATGGGAGTATCTCCTAAAATGTGATACATTATTTTAAATTACTATTTTTTGCAGTCTTCAGAAAGAAATTGACGAAATAAATCATCAACTCGAGAAAATGCATAAGGCATTAAAAGAACTCGAGAATCAACATCAAAGATTGCTAAGAACTCGAACTAAGTTGGAACACGATCTCGCGCTTAAAATCGATGCGTTATACATCGATAAAGAGAAAGTCTGCGGTCTTAGACGCGCATATCCTGTTAATGCATTGTTTAGATTTTAATGGCTTATTCTCTGTTAGTGCCATGTCCTAAATACTGCCATTTACATTTATGAGAATATTTAATCCTATCTTTTGGAATACACTCCTAGAGGAATTTAGGCTATGTGATATTTCCATCCTTAACAAATTTAAAAAAAGAACATTAAATATTTATTACTTTGTACAATGATAGTAACTATTATAATTACGTTTTACTTTACTGAATGACTTTTGACATAGCTTGGTATAGGTAGTTTAAATCCTGGTTTAGCTTCAAAGAATGTATAAGACAAAATTACTTCATTAACAAATTCCATTTTTGGATCATCATCGAATTCTGGATCAATGTAGAAGAACACTGGCATATCAACCTTAAAACAAAAAAAATAACTTACAGTACACTGCCTTTAATTATATAGATTATATATTTGTGCAAATATTCAGAATTTTCATTGTTAGAAAAATTAATTAAAATTATTTAAAAGAAAATAAAAAAAATTTTTATTAGATGCATAAAAAATAGACTGTTATATTATGCAATATTAATAAACTTACTTGTTCATGTGGATTAAGCATCTGTTCTTCAAAACAGAAACATTGTATTTTATTAAAGTACTGTCCTACTTCAAAAGGTATAACGTTATATGTGGATATTCCAACGACTTGTTTATTGGTTGGATTTGTAGCTGTATAAAATGCTAAAGCTGTTTCTCCAGGGACGACTGTAATTTCTGTTTGTTGCGGCTTAAAGTTCCATTGCATCGATGCTGCTGTATCTGCACTAAATTTAACTTTGATTTTTCTGTTAATAGGTGACATTGTGCTTACTTTACTAGTATCATGACCAGCCGATATTGTACCACCATAGCTATACGACTGTAATAGAAAAAATAGCTAATAAAAGAAATATATGGTATATTATTACAAATATTGTTACATCCAAAACAACAGTTACGATACTTATTGAAATAATAGAGGACTAAATTTCGACAATATTATATTTACAATTTAAGATTTATAATTACATTTATTCTCAAAGAATAACAATCGTGTACCTGACAAAATATTCTATACAAAGGCACTGCGGAATAACTCAATCCAACTGCCAGAATTCCGATTCCTGCCCAGTAGAAAGTAGTTGAACGTATATTTTTTCGAAATGATCTGTCAGAGTGATCTTTCATCAAATTTCGCAAAACACTGGTATGTATTTGTCTAATGCAAGTTCGTGTCAATCGTTGAAAGATATTAAAATACATCTTTTCATCAACCAATTCAAGGCTAACCTATAAGACTGTTCAGCATAAAATTGTGTATGAAATTAAATTCTTCTCGAAAACATAGTAATATTAAACAACAAATAAACCTCTTTTTTCAGCGTGACACATGTATCAATATCAATATCGCAAAATTATAAGCATTCGATAAAATTATAGAAACACCGATGTATCGTCATGTGTCAGGCAGCATGCTGCTGCATCCAGCGCCATCTTCGCTAATATGGCGCGATAATTATTCATGTAATCTAACAATTCAAACACAATATTTTAAACTTTAATATATATATATTATTTTTAATTGCTTTTAACGTAATTTATGTAAATGTGAATTGACGTTATACATTATCATAATATTCATAACAATCTCACTTATGACAAGCTAATAAATAACAAAGATAATTTAAAATTGGCACAGTATAAAAAAAGCACTCTAACAAAATTCAAATTTATTATCACACAGCGCATTCTATCGGAAATGAAATAAAGTAGCGCAGAAGCAGATTGTTTTCGAACGTGTGTATCGCGAGTCTCTCGATGTGCTTTAAATAAATTAAATTTGAATAAATATTTGGATAATAATAGTATAAAACGTGACTCAAATAGTGTCAAGTGTGCTTCCGTTGTGTGTATACGATTTAATATTCATTATATCGTGACTAAACGAAAAATTCAACTTTGCGATATCGGAATGCAAGCTTCAGGCTATTCTATCTTTATTCTCATGAAATATAGAACAAAGATAGAATAATGTTTTAAAGCATTCGTAGTGCAGTCTTGATCGCAGTCTTAGTTTTTACTCTTCTAGGAATTCTTTTAAATTTATACTAGCTATACCTGTGTGTATAGGTTTCTTAAAATATTTTAATTATTTTATCTGATCATGAATATAAATTTATATAAGACAATATAGTATTTTCGAGACAATTCTTTTTATCATAAGTAAAAGTGAAGTTGGTAGCGATACGAAGTTAAAAGTTCTCGCGTGACGTTGTATCCAAATTCATGTATTTCGATCGTTGTATAAATTCAAATTGTGTCGTTCAAAGACGCGCGGAACATGTCGTGAGTGTTAACGTACTTCGATTTGACTTATAATTCGTATAATAATCGTATTTCCAATCAATTATGCCGTCGTGAAAGTGATTTTATATACAACGCGATTCGAATAATATCAAATACTTCTATTTCGTGCGTAGAAAGTATTATAATGTCCGCGATTTTAGGATGCAAACGTCAGTGTTCTCATAACGGAAATTGAATTCGTGTAATGTATTCGTATATTCGTGTATGTTTCGTGTAATTCTCGAAAATGTAATAGACAATCATTAAATGGGTAAGAATCTATTGTATTTTTCTTAGATACTTGTAATGCATGCGGTATTAAAATATTTTGCGATTAATTCTCTTAAACTTGTGTGTACAGGTACATAATTTTTGAAATATATATATATATATGTGTGTGTGTGTGTGTGTGTGTGTGTGTGTGTGTGTGTGTGTGTGTGTGTGGTGTGTGTGTAAAAGAAAAAAAAAGGAAAAAAAAATAGATTTTTATTATATACAAATTTGCAAAAGAGATAGAATAAAATTTACATATGTATATATTTAAAAAATTCTTATAGATAAATGCTTACCACTTGGTGACAAAGGTCCTGAAGAGATTCTATTGGAATCATCGTGGGAGTTCACGGACAGCGGATTAATAAAAGTATATAGATAATTGTTCATAAAAAAAAGTAAATTTATTTCATACATATTTTTGCTATGAAGTCAATTTTTAATTTTTTTTTTCATTTTACAGCGTACGAGTTTTCTCATTTACTATGGGGACTCATGACTTCTAGTGTCAATCGTCAGTTTTTCATCGATGTACAGGTAAGAACACACTGGTCGTAGTTGAGACAATTATTAATAAAAATTTTTAGAATTTTGAACTTTTTTATGCATATTTATAATTTTATGAAAAGATAAGTTCCTTTCTACACAACTACGTCCAAGTGTAAATTGTAATATTACGTGTGTAATATTACGTGTAACTTAACTGTTTATTATCTGGCTCAATACCATAATTTCTTTTTATTATAGTATTTTTATTGTAGAGTTTTATAAACGGTAATATTTGCAAATAATTTATAATAATAATATATAGTTTCTATATTTTTATATTCTAATAGTAACTATTCAATTGTAATATTGAATCATTTTTATGATATTTCATAAAATTACGCATTATTGCAACGACATTGCATAAATTTATCTAATGACAAAACTTTTTTTATATTATTTTTATAATCTACAATAATTTACAAATGATTATAATAAATGTATGAAATAATCTACGTAATAAATAACAAACAGAAATATGTTATAATCTTGAATTGCTGTGAATAAAAAAAATAGATAAATAAATAAATAAATATATATATATATATATATATATATATATTAATACTATATTAAATGCTAATATTATATTAACAATTAATTCTTGAGAATAAAATAAAATAAAAAATGTATAAAAAATAAAAATATGTAATTTTTTAAATTCTTAATATAGATTTATCTAAAAAATTATATCTTTAATTATCAGTCTAAATTAATCAAGTCTTTGTTTAGAAGATTAATGTGGAATATTTATTATTATTAAATTATTGAATAAAACGAGTGATTTAGAGTTTTACGTTTTAGTATATAAGTTACACGTAATATTTAACAATACAATACAAATTATTTATATGCAATATAATTATACATATATGCAATAACCTAACAATCGATTTTTTATACCGATTGGAGATCATAATCCTTAACTAGTATAATTATCTTATAAAAAACAAACTTTTAATAATATAATTAAATTGTACATTATTTAAACGCTTCAGTATATAAACTTTAATGAATCTTATAGTTTTTATTGTATCTTTATTTATGAAAAATACAATTCGTTTTTAATAATGCATTTATTAGCACACAAAAGATTGAGATTTACATAATTTATTGTAAAAAACCTGCATAAAAATATAAATAATTCAGAATATACTAATTAAGGAATAATGATGCATTTTTTCTACAAATTATAATAGCGCATCAATATGTATTGTAGGATTCTTTTTCTCTATCTCTTTCAGTCGATATATGATTTATGTATGCATATATGTATATATCTGCATATGTATGCGTATATGTATGTGTGTGTATATATATATATATATATACACATACATACTTATATACATACATACATACATATGATATATATACATTTATATATTATAGAATTTAATTTTATTATAAAGAGATAGATATTTTTATTGGAGTCTTTTATTTTTCTATAAAACTTAAAATCCCATTATGCTATGTGAAGCACAAATATTATTTCTGATAGGAAAAGAAATTCAAATATCTATGTAGAGATATTTTTTGTCTATTTAATTTTTCTTGTTCTAATTAAAATTTTTATATCAACTTTCTGGCAAGCTAAGAACGTTTTGCGAAATTTATTAGCTATTTTATGAATAATATAAAAAAAGTATAATTGTTTACATGATATAATCACTTGTTTGTTTAAATAATTAATTAAAAAATTTGATAGATTTTATATTTATCGTAAATAAATTGTTATAATAGATTTATAATTACTATATTATACACATATATATATATATATATATATCATATTTCATTTATATTCTATTGAAAAACTATAATATTCGAAATCTCAAAGTAAGAACTAGAGCATATGTTTGGCACGATAAAGAGGTATTTGCAATCGTTTTCTAATATCTATTTCCTTTGCATCACTTTAAATCATTGAAATACAAGATTCATAGAAATGCGCAATATGTGAAATGCGATTTTTATTTTTTTCATTTATTCTTAACAATAAAGTAAAATAAATAGAAATAAACCGTCCTTCATGATAAAATTGTTAAAATATAATAATATGCAATTAAGTGTTTAGTAGTAATAATAATAAGTGAGGGAGAACAATTACTGAAACTATCTTTATATATTTGTATTTCTGTAATCAAAATATTTTATCGTTATTTACATTTTTTTATAATATTATATGTATAAATAATTATTTTTTTAATAAAAAATTTATTAAATTTAATACAAAATTAATAGAACATCTTTTAAAATATATGCAAAGAATAGAAAAATTCGTTTCATTTATTTCAATTATCGCAATTATTTTCTATGAATTTTGTTTCTCAATTTTCCAACCAATATTTGCATATTGTTTACTTCATGAAGTCTTTGACTTCAAAAAGTTGAGACGGATTTAATTACTCTACTATTACTGACTATGTTTTTTATGTACAATATGATAAGTAATTATCTCTCTGTGCAGCCTCGTTGCATTAGATACTTATATACCTAAACATAATATTAATACGATGGACATTTGTAGTTAAGCATCTAGACACCGCGTATAAAACTGACTATAAATTACTACTGTCTCTCTTTGGCACAAATTCGACGATCACACGCATCACAAACATTGAAAATACAGTAACTTTGAAGCTATCCTTTATATCTTTACATATTAAATGTACTTTTATACTTTTCGCGTTTCTAAAAAGATAATTCCGATACAATAGAAAATACAATTAATTATGCATTAATCAATAATTAATTAATACATAATCAGTATTATCAAGTAAGTATTATCAAGTATTACGTATTATGAAGTACTTTTAATGGCGCTTCTTTCTTTGCACTATTAATATTTGTTATTTTTTTAATTTCTTAAATCAGCGTTTTTTATTTTAACAGTTATATTTGTATTAGATCAACATCTTTGGTGAATTCCACAATAAAGTTTAAGTTGTACTTGTCGACTTAATTCGAAATTAAATGCAGTTTTTCTATCAATAATTTATAACTTGATAATATTGCTTTCTTTATGAAGAATAATATTCAGAAGCGTCATAAAATTTTCTTGAAATTTTATTTTTTATTTCTGTTATTATGAAATATCGACATTTATCAGCAACTTAGTTATGTCCAGATCTTTTACAAGTAGTAAATATACGTAAATATATGTAAATAGTAAATATACGTAAATATACGTAAAGTAGTAAATATACGTTTACCAAAATTATACATTTAAAAGAACTTCCGTAAAATTTCACATAAATTTTCTAAAATTACACATTCTGTAAACTTATAACGCGGAAATATATGAAAAATAATTTTATTT